TTTGACCCCGTTGGGAATCGAGGCCCTTAGGCCCGTCTTACGTCCACCCATATGATATTTAGTGATTCCCATTCGCACCTACATCAGCACTCTATGTAGGTCCCTGAAAAATTGCAGTATTGCAGCCACTTCAAGTTACGAGACTTCTATTGGGGTCACAAAACCACTTGCGAAGCATCTCAGTCGCAGGCAAGCCACCGCTTTAAATTCACACAATAAATACTCCACCGTTCCGTTTCCCAGACACAAATTTTTTGGAGTGAGATAAGTCTGGACAACTGTTCCAATTACCTGTTGTATTAGTATTTTATTTGGATATTTAAAACTAATTTTTAAAATTTTCTAATAAAATTTTTAATTTCAATTTTTGAACAAAAAAATATTCTTAATTTTTTAAATAAAACAATTTTCAATTTTTCATACATCAATTATTTGCTAAATCACTCAAACGTTTTAAGTGACATCTACATTCTGATAGAAAATTAAGGAGTACATGCAAAAGAATAACCTTATTCACCTAAAAGTATGCAAGATTTTTTTTAACGAAATTTGTGGATTTATTTAAAGATTGTTAAATTAAAATAAATTGCATAAAATACGGCTAATTTATGTTTGTGGTAGAAACTTGAAAATTTTCTGCACGAATTCTATATTGCCTAATTAAAATTTTTCCAAATTGTTTAGAAAATGTTTATTAAAATATTGTTTTTTTTTTATTTTTGCAGGTAAGTCAAGCATTTTCATAATCACAGATTAATGACGGATATATGTAATACAAATTACACACAAATCTCAGTGTAAGTTAAAAATTTAACATTATTTAATGAAAAATAGAAGATGAAATTTCGTTTGTATAAATGCCAATTTTAAATTTACTCGTATATTTTCTTTTCACAGTAATATTTGTGATCGATAAAATGGTCTTTATTTCAAAACTGTATTGAACCTAATTATTGGTTATCTTAAATATTCTAACAAAATATTAAAAAAAGAATGTTTTGCTTCCACAATTTATACTTGTTATAAATTGAGAACTAATGCGGTTTTTTGTAATGCAATTTCTGTAAAAATTTTAATTTTACTTTCAATTTGCTATAAAAACGCATAAATTCGAATAATTTAAAAAAAAATAAGTATTTATAAAGAATAATAATGCAATTAAAATTTTACGCGATTTTCCAAAACTCAATAACCCTATAATTTTGCATTTAGAATTTTAATCAATACCGGAAATTAACAATATCATTATAAGTTCCTCTTGAATATTAAACACTTAAAAAAGTGCCATTGATACTCAATACTTATTTGCAAAAATTTTAAAACATACAGAAATTAACTTTAATCCTGTAAACATACAATATTACACTTTCGAAAGTGAAGTCGACAAAATTCAACAAAAACCTATGTAATTGGCCAATATAACTTTGGTATGGAGTTTGTAACTACTTGAAGAAGTCATCTGCGTTATGGACATGTATATACGATTCTTTCTCAACGTTATATTCTGCTTTGATTTAGACATGTCCGTCCGTCCGATCGCACGATAACTCAAAAAACGAATAATGCAATTGACACCAAACTTTCTCAAGTTGATTGTTTTGTGCCAAGAACGAACCCTATTGTAAGTGGACCAATTCAAACAACGGGTTCGGTTAGCTGACATGCAACTCAAAGAGTTTAATAAAAATATTTCAAAAACTAATAAAGATATAAATATGAAATTTTGTACACGTGTGTCCAATTACATTTTAAAGGGATCCCTGGATCGGTTCTGGTGGTTGCCATACAACTCCAAAAACAAATTTTAAATGTTTGGAAAAATAAGAAAACAAGACTCATAAGACTTGGCAGTTGTGTGTCCAATTATGGGTCAGACATATTTCTAAAGTTTTGGTGGAATTGCTTAACAGATTCAGGTAGCTGCCATATAAGTCCAAAAGGTAGTTTTAAATATTTGAAAAAATAATAAAGGCAGATTTTTGAAACTTGGCAGTCTTATGTGCAATTATGGGTCAGACATATTTCTGAAGTTTTGGTGAAATTGCTTGACAGGTTCGAGTAGCTCCCATCCATACAAGCCCAAAAGCTTATTTTAAATATTTGGAAAAATAGTCGTGTGTCCAATTATAGCAATTTGTGTCCAATTGTATAGCAATTGCTATACAACAATGAAAGGTGCAGGGTATAATTCAATCGGTTTATACCGACTGAAACGTTTTTACTTGTTAAAATTTAATTAAGTAAACATTATAAACATTGTTTTCAGTATCTTAAGCCCAATTTCAATTTTAAAATTTCTATTTTCGAGAATTCAAATATAGTATGACTGCAATTTGCAAAAATCTTGTAGTAATTAAGTATAGCAAAATTTTATCAATTTTGTCTCAATTAATTTAACAATTTTTGTCTTCAACTTTCCTTTAAGCATTTTTGTCCCCCACATATTTCTTCTTGAATTGTGATATATTTCAATTATTTACGAATATTCCTGCTATTTTGAATATTTCGTGTTTGAAATTTAATACAAAATCTTGTATATCTTTTATAAAATTTCTTTATTTTCATTATTTTATTTTTATTTATTTTAAAATTTTTGGGAACACATTTCTTCTATAATAAAAAAAAATATCAAGGATATTTTTTTCTTTTTTATTAAAAAATTCTTTTGAATATTTTTATTTTACTTCTATTTTAATTATTGGTTTAAAATATTGTCTGTTACATAGTTTTTGTTATTATTTTTTTTTTGTTTGTAATTTAATCAATTAATTTTATATTAAATAATTTTTTTTTTAAATATTTTTTTATATCGAATAAAATTTCAATGTACATTAAATTTTTTGCTTTTTTTTTTTTTCGTTTGTCTTAAAGTATAACGAATAATTTAAAGAAAAATAAAATATTTATTTATTTATATATGTATATATATATATTTATAAGAGTATATATGTGTGTGTGTGAATATTTACATTAATTTGTTTAAAATATACGCCTATAATATAGGAATAGGAAAATTGTATTCAATTTAATAATTTCATTTTATAAAATATGGAAGATTTCTTTATGGTTACATGAACTTTTCTTTAGCACATGTTCCCTGTCCCAACAAAAAAATGCAAAACAGGGTTTTTTTGAATAATTTGTTTTTTGTTTTTTGTAGTCATAGGATAGCACGTCCAGTGCAGAAACTGTACAGTTCCGTTACGTCCAGTCGAATAATTTGCCTTAGAAGTTTCATATACCCCCTGACGCACATATGGTTCAGGAACGTATCAGTGCTTATCAAGCGCATGTTTCCTGCGCCATATGTGACTCAGCGGACAGGGAATGCGTTAATCCTTTTTTTTTTGCTTTTATTTTTTTTTTTTTTCTGTCTCTAATTTCTACTTAAATTTCTAATATTACATAATAAAAAATTCTTAAGGATTAAAAATAAAATTTTTACATTTTTTAATTGTTTTTTGTGTTTTTATTTTTATTATTATTTTAAATTATTTATTTGTCTTCAGGTACTTACTAACTATATATTTTTTTTTTTACATAGAATTTTTTAATTATTTATACATACATATTTTATTTTATATAGTATATAATATTTTTATATGTGTTATATTCAGTGTGCGTATATATACAGGCATTCCTCTATTGTAATATTTAAAATTTTATGAATATTTCTGTACAAAATATTGAAAAAATTTTATGAAAAGATTTTGAATCGAGTAATTTTAGACGCCGCATTTTAATTCTGGACAATTTTATAGGAATGCTTGTATATACATGCAATATGTATAAATTAAAAAATATACAAAATATTTTTCTGTATAATTTATTTTATATTTTATTAATGGCTTTAACTATTTAAATTTTATATTTGGAATATTATTAATATTTGTAAAAATTTTCAATATTTACTTGAATTTTCTGATTAGATTTTAATTTATTGTCTTATTTTATGAAAATTTTACAATAAAACTCTAAATTTAGAAGACAATTGCAAAGTGAAATCAAGATAAATGATGAAATTTGGAAGAAATTAAAAATATTTTTGTAGTTTTACTTTGAAACTGATTTAAAATTTTTAATAAATTACTCTTTAATTATTTTTGATTAAAAATACTATTTTTTTTTAAATTTATTATTAATAATAATGAAAAATTTTTATCAAAATTAATGCCATTAATAGCAGCTATGTACGTATTTGGTCTATTTAAAGTGGTATTATACTCAATAATTTCAATGGCAGTGGGATTTTATTTTAAAAAAAATTGTTCGTGGCAATATGACAATAATTGTGATAATAAGCTGTTTGTGGCAATGCCTAATTTTAATTTTGCAAAAAACTACGAAATCTAGCAAAACATTTTTATTCAAAAGATTACCAAATTTTTTCATAATTTGTAAAGCTGTTGATCAAAACATATGTACATATTAAATTTAATTGGTACAAATTGTTAGAAATCCAAAGAAAGTACTGTCTTAAAAAAATGAACATTCAAACTGCTTATGGTTATTAGAGAATCAGAGTTTGTAACCCAGTGTTCAAAAATTACATTTACAGCGAAAACAGAGAATTTCTTCGAGCCACTACAATCACACTACAAAATCCCACAAATGTTGAAAAATATTTAATATATTATAATTATTATTTTTAATTATTATAACTGTTATATAATAAATAAATAAATTCAAAATGGCTTCCTTTTACAAATTATTTCTAAAAAAAAAAGCTTTGTTGTTTGTTTTGCAATTACTAAAATATTTTAAATTATTTACATTGAACTATTTAAAACTATACTCGAAAATTAAATAAAGTAAGAAATAATAAAAAAATAAAAAAAAAAAGAATCTATTGTCAAACGTAACTTCATTCATTCTTTACATGACATATCTATATACTACTAGTGTATATAAGAAATAAAAAAAATAAAAAAAAAAAAAACAAATAAACAAAATATTTTTCTCTGTGTATTCGAATAAATTCTTTGTTTTGTCTAAATTTATTTAATTTAAATATTTTTTTTTATTGTTTTATTTTTTTTTAAAAATAATAATAGCATTTCATAATACAATAACATTATATAAATAGAAAATATAATAATAATAATAAAATAGAAAAAAAAAAGTACTAGTAAAAATTATTAGAAAATGGTACTACTAAAACTATTCAATGATTATTTAAAATTAATCATTCGCCATACAATAACCAGCAAACGTTTTAATATTATCATCCATATAACTTTCACCTGCTACAACACCAGAATCAGTATGATGTGTTGGACATTTATGATCTCTTGGACATTGACATAATGGATTTGTATTTACTTCATCTAAATGTTCTTGTCTTTGTCGTAACGTAAATAATCGACATGGTTCTTTTCGTTGACATCGGAGTCTCTATAAATAAAATATGAAAGCATTAATTACAATTTGTAATCATTTTTTATAATAAAATATTTTTTACAGTGTTCTATGTTATTTGTTATACGAGAAATATAATTATCTCCGGTTATATCGTATTAAATTGTTATATTGTGGTAATATTGCTGTTTTTGGTGTTTAAAATGTCATTTAATGTACTGTTATGTATAAATGTATTATATTTGTTATGTTCTTAATATTATTATATATGCAGTCATTTTCAATTTTCTTAATACTTTAAAACTGTTATACTGTAATTAATTACAATTCAATTTTTTAAGTTTACTTACATTTTGTGGTGAACATGCAAAATAATAAGTGTATCCTGAATGGGTATTTGGTTCCCATTTTGTTAAATATGTAACTGAATTTGGGCGACATCTACAATGTACAATTTGTTCTGTAATATTTAATTCTGGCATTGTTGTTACAGTCCATGTAAAATCAGAATAAGAACTATGTTAAAAAGAAGGAAAATTATTATTTAATTAAATTAAATTATTATTTACACTTACTCGCATAATGGCAATTTATGTACTGGACTACATAATTTATAATGTCTTGTTTTATCAGATATTGTAAAACCATCATCAGTTCTAATATCATTAGGACAACCACCAAGAAATGTTATATCTTTACGATGATGTTGATGATGATGATGATGATGATTGCTATTATGATTTTGACCAAAACGTCCTGAATGCCTTAATTTATTTGATTCTCGTTTTTTTATTGTATATGATGATGATGATGATGATGAAGTTGCATCATTCTTTTCTTGTGGATATTTACGTAATATTTTATGTATTAAAAATAAATTTGGATGTTGTTGTTGTTGCTTTTTTGGTTGTTGTTGTTGCTGCTGTAATTTTGTTGCTGTAATTCCTAAATGTAATTGATGATTTTTTTCAATTTCTTCATTATTTTGTTGTAAATCATTTTCATTTAATATTAAATCATCTCGATGAACAGCTTGAAATTTTTGCATAAATCTCTTAATATGAATATCTTCAATATTTCTTTCATTTAAATCATAAATATTTTGTTTCTGTTGTATATTATTATATTTTTGATTTTTGTTATACGATGATTTTAAATTAATATTATTTTTTAAATGATTTAATGAATTTTGATTAGGGTTTTCATGATAGTGTTGTTGTTGATGATGATGATGATGTATTTGAATTTTATTTGATATATGAATGATTGGACAACGACACTGTCTTTCAATCCATGGTATATCATATACATCTATTTTAGAACAGACAGCATTTGGTGAACATATTGGTAGATCATCTTCTGATTCCTATAATTATAAGAACAAACAAAAATTGTTTTAGTTCTTGATTTAAATTAATTATAATTGTTTAAGTGTACTAAAAATTATACAAGTAATAAAAAATGATATTATATGCAAACATTTATTGAAATGCCAAAATGGGCGCATTTGATATTCAAATGGCTTTATAAAATAACAGTAACTGTCAACGAACTGTCACAAAGAAAAAATATAAAAAACATATTAATAGCACTCTGTTTTTTCTATCGAACATAATCGGATGTCGAACATTGTTTCAAGATGTTGGCACAAAAACTTTTATAAGATTTTAGTCAAATTTGTTTGATTTCAAATAAATATATTGTATAGTATGATATCATACAAACTGTATGATCCATATAGTCATATCATACAGATATAATACAGTTTGAGCCAACAATCAACATTATGCTGTCTAATTAAGTGCTCTATAAGATCTCAGAGATAAATATTCAATTTTTAGTTTTACAATTAATGATTTTTTGTAAAATCGTTGCAGGCATATTTACGCAACTAAACTACTTCTGGCGTCGATTCAAATCGATTGAGACAACTAAAAATTGCAATCATTTTTTAAAAACTTACAGTTCATACAGTTGCGTATTGTGTGCACGCTTGATTATAAGCTTATGGTATGCAAATAAGCAATCAAACGGTGCAATTAATATAAAAAAAAATTCTTACATAACAGTTGCAAAATATTTCCTTATTATTTCAACATTTCCTTCCAAGTAAAATATACAAAATCAAAACAAAAAAATGTACGAATTTAAAAAAAAAATTTTTTTTTCTTAATATCCTTGAAATGACCTTCTGTTTCCTCTTTATAAGCAATAAAGGCAAATTTTAAAAATAAAAACAAATTAAAAAATTGAAGGATTTCTCACCCAAAAACGTGTATTCATAAAAGAAAAACAAAAAAACAAAAATAGGTTAAAACGTACTTGAAAATCTCTTCCTTCCTTCTTTTTTAATTCCGTTTTATTCCTTGTTGATTTTTTTGTTCTGTTTTCGTTGTTTACTAAACCGGAAGAACTTATGTGAATTTTTTTTTTTATTTTAGGTAAAATCAAATTGGGATTTAGAAGGTCATAATGAAATATGTAAATAAATTTGTACACACACACACACATTCATTACAAATTCTTATGCCAGTTTTCGAAAAATTTTGTTGTGCTTTGTTTTTTTTTCGTGAACATTCTTTAATGATTTTAGAAACTTATGCAATTGAAAGAGAAAAAACACGTGATTTTTTTTTTTTATTTACTTTGTCATTTCATTTTAACCACTTTGATTTTCTATATATAAATTAACTGAATGGCTTAAATTACTTAAATCAATACCATACTGAGTTTGTAATATGCATGATTGCTAATATGTGTAAAGAAGAAACCAAAATTCTGTGTGACATAATGACCAAATGTTTCCATGTTCACACATACATTATATAAATTTTTTGTTTATTTTTTGTATATACTCGTATGTGAAAAATAAATTCCGGAACTATTTAAAAATCAATTGTTAAGGAAAAAAAATTTTTTTTTGTTTTTTTCTTCTAAAGCCTTGTTCCATTCCTTTTATGATAATAGAGAAGAAAAGCAAGAAAAGGAAAACAAAACGGTTTTATTTGAGTTTAAAATTAGTGTTGTCACTAATAAGAAATTGAAAGTGTTTATGATTTTGTATCATAATTGATTGAAAATTATTTTGACGTTTTGAATATATAAATAAAATAATTTGGAGTTTAGATAAATAAAATGGAGTCTCCATTTGAGAATATTAAAAAATATTGATAAAAAATATTCCATTTGAAAAAATCTCAAATAATATTTCCATTTGAGGGCATATAATTCCGAATTATAATAGTCTATACAAGATCAGTAATTAAAAAGAGCAGTTGCATTGCAAATATAATCCGGTAAATGAATCCGGTAAACTCCTAATATAACAGAGTTTACATATACAAATTTTTCCAAAACTAATTCAAAATAATTTGAAGTGTTATTATACTATAAAAGAACCGCATCAATTAAAAATACATTCAACAGCAATATTATTTAATAAATATTATAAAATAATTCGAAATGTGAATTTAAACAATGAAATTTCGTAAATTCTAAATTTTAATTCGTTATACAATTTTGTAAATACAGAGAAAACAGAACAAGAAGAATTTTAATAATAATGACAAAATATCAAAGCTAATTCAATTTAATTATAAGACAGTTGTTTTTTTTTTGAAACAGTAGAATATTTAAAAACATTTTAATCAATCACGATTTTAATATAATTATATAATTCTCAATAATATTTTAAATAAAATAATAGTATAAAATAATTAAAAATAATATCTGAGAAGGTAGCAAATCTGTTACCTTGCTACCAATAATAAATTAATTGGAATTTATAAGAGTCTCTCTCTCTCTCTCTTAATTCTCTCATATAATAAAATGTGAAAACAATGAAAAAAACGCTATAATATTGTCTTTAATGATTAAAGACTAAAGAGTAATACCTTGATTTATTTCAATTCAAATTCACTCTCTCTCTCACTATTTATTCATCCTCTCCGAACAAAAAAATTACATATTTAGGATTAATTTTTCGTTTTGTTATTTTTTTTATGATTTTATAATTTTTATAAAATATCGGAAGTATTCTAAAATCGGAAGTGAATTTTTTTTAATGTCATATTGTGTTTTTATTTTTCTTTTTTGTTATTTTATAATTATGTTTACTTCCATATAAAAAATAGTATATTGAGAGTTAGAGAAATGATTTGATTTTTTTTTGTTGATTCGTTCATTTTATTCATTCACTCATTCATTGAATTCATTATTTTTTAATTTTATGTTTGGGATTTTTAATTATTTTAGAAAATATTTTTAGTTTTTTTAGAGAATTTTATACAAACTGTACTCTTTCTTTATATGTACATTATTATGTATGTATGCATGTATAAGAAATAATATGTTCTCAATACATCTGGTGTTATTAATAAAATAATTTTTTTTTTCCTCTAATAAACAATTTTTTTTTTTAGTAATATTAATGAATTAAATATTAAATTCAGAAAAAAACAAATTTACGAATTATTTAGAAAATAAAAAAAAGCATATAAGAAACTTTAATAGTAAATGATGATAGAATCAAAAAAAAAAAATCAAACCGGAACTTGAATTTTTTTATTTGGAATTTTTAAATATTTTTCTCTTTCATTATTTTTTTAATTTTTCTCCCGATACCTATAATTCAAATGTGGTATACACAAAGATTACATTGAATATAAAAATTATAAATACATATAATATAGGAAGCTGGAAATTAGGAAGAAGAAACCACCAAAAAAAAAAAAAATTATGAAAGAAAGGAAAAATGAACCATTAATAAGGCAAGACGTCAAAAAAGAAAAATATGATTGCGTTCATGCCTATATGATTTTGTACATATTAAGGCATATTACACTTAGATGCGTATAGGAACTATATATAGGAACATGTTAAATAACTAAATAAATATAAATAAAATTTTAATAATGGTCCATAATAATAACAATAACAAAAAACCAATAAGACAACAATAAAAAAAAAACAAGATCTAAAAAAAGGTTTCATGTGAGAATTTCCGTGAGAAATTTTTAATATACAAAATTATTGTCTATGTATATACAATGAATAGTATAACACTTAATCTTGTATCGGAAGTAAAAGTAAAATTAAAAAAAAATATCGATTTATGAAATAAAAATTACATACATGTATGTACATACGCACATGTATGAAACATATTTATTTAAAATTATTATTAAGGGTTTCTGTTTTTTCCTTTCTAAAGTAAAAAAAACCAAGAAAATTATCTTCAGGGTGGTAACAAAAAATATTTACATTAAAGCTTCATTTGTATAATAGTTGAGTTTATAATTTTAATTTTTTATTATTGTTGAAAATTTTTTGTATTGAATAAAAATTTTAAATAGACGTCAAATATCATAAAATTGAAATATATTTTTCTAAATATATATAAGTGTATATATATATATACATTATTCACTTACATTCTGTTAGTCGCGTCACTAGATGTAATGGGTTGTTATTGAAAAAATTTTAAAATTTTCAGAATAAAATCAATTTTGAAATTAAAAATTTTATATTGAAAATCAAAATATTTTTCAATAATATTCCATGACCTCAATGGATGTGACTAACAGAATATGTTTAAGTATGTAGAAAACGTTGCCATTATTGAATTTTTGGTTGTTCAAGTAACATTTCATTCATAACCAATAAGAAATTTTCCAAAAATCATAAAATTTACAATTTAGGCGTAAAATCTGGCGTCATCGAAATATGCTTTATTAAAACTAACTACTAGTGAATATCAGATTTTTTTCATTTAATTGGTACATTAGGTAACTAAGTATATAAAATATACTAGCAATTAAATTCTAACATTGTTTTCTTTGCTTGGCATTATATTGTATATGTGTAGAATTACGTACGTACTAGAAATTATACAATATACTTGAGAAAAAAGTTCAAATTCATATTAACGTTATACTATGTATATAAATATAAGCTGTAAAATATTTTCGAATTATGAACAAGCTGTAATATTTCAAAAGAATTTTTGAAATTTCAATCTTCCAAAAATACTCTTACAATTTTATCTAGAAATTAGTACGTAATGGCAGTACTCATTTGTGAAAGGCATTAACTTACTAGTCGCAGCTTAAAAGCAATTAGAATTAAAATATTTTTCTTAGAAATTTTGTGCCCTTGATTACTAAAAAACGTCGGTTTAAAGGCAGAAAGCACTAAGTACATTTTTTGAGAATTCGGATTTCATAGATGAATTAAATCAGAATAATATAATCTTTGTTGTGGTAAAAAATCATGCAAATCCAGAATATAGTTTATAAATCCAGAAATTAAAGAAACCAATCCCATTGCACTAATTGATTAGTTTTACAATTTTACGATTTTTTCAAA